CTCTTATCTATTATGTCAAATGTCATTTTGTGGTAAATTTATATGAAATTATATCCGTTGTTATTTTGTGATTTTTTTTATTTTATAAAATTTCATATAATACTTAAATGTAATAAATGTATATCTAATTATTAATACAACTTTCCTTATAATTTCTAAAATTCTAAATTGAATTCAATTATTTTAGTTGTTTATTTATTTAAATTGTTAGTTTAAATTTAAAAGATAAATAAACACTTCAACTTCAATAATTAAATATTTTATTTTTTTGAATTAACTCATATAATACATGGGTCTTACAACTAATTTAACCTAATAAATTTAAATCATTTTTGTCAATTGTCATGTTCTCATTCAATTTGATATATATCATTTTTTGGGATTTTTTAAACTATATATCCACTTGTTATTTTTATGTTTTTTTTTTTCTCTTTTTATCGAAATGTCACCTCATTATAATTAATATCATGGGCGGAGCCACATAAGGCCCACCCTCAAATTCTCAACTGGTAGACATGTTCGTGCACCTTTAAGATACTTAGGTTCGATCTCATTTGTCGGCAAATTTTTTACAATTTAAGCACTTATTTATACTCTCATTTTCACAATTTAACATATCTTCTAATTCTTTAACAAATCACATCTTTAGAAATTTATATATTCTGTCCCTTAATTTTTATAAATTTTTTTTTTAAATAATTTAGTTACTATTTAAGTTTTTTCATGTTACAACTCACTCCCTTAAATTTATCTTGCTTATATAAAAAAATATGTATTTAGAGGGGTCCAATTTTACTTTTCACATAGAACCTTCAAAATCAACGGTCTCTCTCTCTCTCTCTCTCTCTCTCTCTCTCTCTCTATATATATATATATATATATATATATATATATATATATATATATATATATATATATATATATATATATATATATATGTGTGTGTGTGTGTGTGTGTGTGTGTGTGTGTGTTTTCTAACTAATTTACAAGGAACATCCTAAAATAGTTTTTTTGGCTTCGCCCCTGATTAATTTCATTAATATATTAATAAATATAAATTAAAATATAAACGGTAACAATCCGTTTATGAATTTTTATATTTATGGTGTACATTCATCAATGACTTTTCAATTTATATCTCTATCACTTAATCAAGGAAATCATTTTGTCCACTGTATTTTATTCTATATGGAAATAACTTTGATTTTAATTTAGAATACTATGAAGTAAAGAATTTGCCGATATTATATCATTTATATGAATAGCATAAACAAAAGGGTAAATAGCATAAAAAACACTCAGTTTATACCAAAATTCTAATTTGACACCGTGTTTTTTTTGTCTCAAATTTGACACTGTGTTTTCCAATTTGTTACAATTTTGACCACTTGATCGGTCAACCAGGTTACATGCTGACGTGGCATGATGACGTGTCAGTTTTGATGACGTGGCATGCTGACATGATATACTGACGTGTCAAAATTAAATTTTTTTTCCACAAAAAACACTAAGTTTTCATTTTTTTTCGATTTTGACACTAAGTTTAATTTTTTCTTTTAATTTTGACACTATGTTTTTTTGTTCCAAATCGAACATCATTTTTTCAATTTTGTTCAATTTTGACCATTTTCCATTTGAAACCGTATAAATATATTTTTTATTACATTTTAAACCGTATAAATATATTTCTTTTTTTGTTTAAAAAACCACATTTTTATTTAAATACAAGGTGTTTCTTTTGTTTTGTTTTGTTTTTTTTTTACATTCAAAGCATAATGTATAAATATTCATTAGTTATATCATGAGAATCAAACTAACGATAAACTTCTAATAACTTCGAAGAGTGCTCATGTCACAAATATATGTTTACATAATCAACTAAGCAAGTGACCAAGTTCTCATTATTATTTAACATGTTCGATCCTCTAAATTTATTAATATTTTTTATTCCCGACTCTTAAAAGACATGTCAATTATTTATTTTTAGATGTTATGTATATTTTTTAATTTAGCTACTTTTATTTTTACTTCTTTAACAAATGTAACGTGTTTATAAAAAAAAATATTATTACAAAAGAAACACCTAATTATTTATTAGCAATTATTATAAAATACTTATTAGGACTACTTATTAGGACGATCTATTTTATTAATCCAAAGTAAACATGAATTATTCCTTTATAATTAAATAAAATTAATTTTAAAACACTCTTAATTTATTTAATTTGTTGAAATCTTGGGGTGGCAAATCGTGCTATCGTGCTATCGTTTCATGTTTCTTTCTGACACGACACGACACGACACGAAAAGGTTTTATGGAACACGAACACGATATGAACAAATTTAAAAACGAAAAACACGATACGACACGACAAAGATAACATATATACTAAAAACTAGTTTATTTAATGAATATTTTATTAAATATAACACGACAAACACGAAAAACACGATAAAGAACTGCTAAATCGTGTCAATTTCGTGTTGACTTTTGAACACGAACACGACACGATACGATATCATGTTTTTTACAATTAACACGAATACGACACGAACACGAATTCAAATTGCAGTTTCGTCCCAATTTCGTTTCGTGTCGTATACTTTTCCTGTGTCGTTTCATAAATTGTCATCCTTGTTGAAATCTACTAAGATTCATTCTGACACGTGTCATATTCTCTTGTAGTTGGGCAAGCGTATTACAGAAATAGAAATAATTTGTAATAGTAATATATGAAACTGTATATTTATTCTAAGAATGTCTTTGCATAAAAGAATTTTTTCCACATTTCAAAGAAGATAATTTTCTTTGGTTGTATGTGTTGTGGTGAAAATAAACAAGAATCAATGAAAGTCGTTATCGAAACTGTTATTTTTAGACAGTCAGTGTTCAATTATGGATAATTTTATGTTACGTTGTCCAAAGTTAACTCTGAAAATGAACTAAAAATATTAATTTTAGATAATGACGGTAAATTTAGCAATAAGACATATAATATTATATTCAAATAAGTCTTTGAAAATTTGAGTCATAACAATTATATTTCTAATATGTCAATACTTTTTATTTATTATTATAGATTCAATTACCTACTTTTTTACCATTTTGTTTGTATTTTTTTTTAAGTTTCCTTTAAAAATGTTTAATTCTTACATCTTAATACTCAACACAATTATTCAAAATATATCAATAGATTTTTTTTATTAGTATAAATTGAGTTACTTATTTATTTATCATTTTGTTTGTACTTTCAAAATGCTTAATGTTTACTATTTATAATTTTTTTTATTAATGTGTATATTACACTATTCTCACACCTAACCAAATAATAAAAACATATGTATTATGTATAAGTCAAGTATGAAATTTTATAAACAACTCAGAAATATTTTTATGATTATAGAGAATAATTAATATGTAGGTATATATTGTATTACCTTTTAATGTTGTGTTTGTATATTGATTTATATTTTTCAATTAAATAATAGTATAAAATATGTAATTATTAATTAAAAATTAAAAAGTAATAAATACTTGATTATTTCATTTTTATTTTTTTAAAAACAGCTAACACATTCTAAATTCTACTCTTAAACTACATTTTTATGTCTGCAATGGGACTTAAACATACAACTAGTTTCAATATTTTGATTACACGGTTTCTTTTAGTAAAATTGGATGTTTATTTAGCCTGATTTCATTTTCTTTTGTTTTCTCATCCAAACCACAACTTTTGCTTTAATTTATATTCTAATTCCTTTAAAAATTTTAAAAATCCATGACCGTATGCCTAATTTTGAACCTTGTGAGATTCTAAAATTAGGTGATTCTTTTTTGAATGTTTACTTCCAATGTTACACCACCAATGTCACTTTAAATGTGTTTGCTATTTTTATAAATAAATAATTAAAAAACATAACAAACAAAAAAAAATATTCTAATCACACAAACAAAAATTGCTTTTGGAGCGCTTAATTTCGATGATCTTCTCGATCAATGGACAAAATTCGTTTGAAAATGCTGTTGCTGTTATTAGAAGTTTAATGTACCGACATATTTATAAATATGTTGAACTTCAACTACCTCTTATTTATTCAATAAATGCTGCGTGACAATTGGTTTGTGATTGATTGGTTTTTGTACAACAGATTTTACTTGGTTACTAACTTTATTCAATATTTATTTATTTAAGAAACTAATCACATTTTCTTCCCAAACTTTTATACATTTTTTTTCTTTCAAAATCGTAATATTGACCCATAATAAACATTATAATTCAATACTGAATAATACATTATTGAGATTTTCTTTGTCAATACTCAATAATCATCCCCACCATAATGTTTTTACTATGTTTGAAGCAAAAGCTATGTGTGCGGTGAAATAAATAGGAGAGTAAAATTAATTTATGATGAATATCATTAATAATTCAACCAATACAACTAAGGGCATCTTACGTAAAAGCGACTTCTACCAAAATTTTAAATAAAGCTGTGAATTTCAAAATCAGTACGACTGACATCTTCTACGTGTGTAAGACAAATATCGAACCTAACAAAAACATCTCGTATATATTGTGTCTACTTGGGATTTGTGTGTCTGGTCATAAATTCAAATGCAAGAAGGGTGTGGTAGAAGAAGATAAGGAAAACTTATATGAGTTTTCAACAACACTATAAAAATTAAGTATGTTGTGGTTGCTAGTGATATGATCGTAGCTGAAAACAATCCCCTTCTAAAAGGGCACTTCTAGTTCTAGGTTTTAGTTTGAGATTTTAGAGGGTGGCTGATAAATATTAACACCAAACATATCGACTACTAGTGTGAATACACGTGACAAATATGTAAAAAAATGGTTGTCGTTTGAAGAATTTTTTTAAATGGTTAATTGGTTATAATTAATTTATTCAAAAACCTAAAAGTTAATCAAATAAAAGTACTCGCAGATTTAACTCTACATACAAAAATTATATAATATTATAATAATAGAAGTCGAACCTGGGGATTGATTATCAAAACCATGAGAACTGATAAGTTGCAGAGTGACGTTTTTCCCCACAAGCTCATGAAGTCGATCCAGAACCGATGCACTCAAGTCGATGATATCCAACACATTTTTCTTGAGTAACACCACTCTCCCTATGATCGTCTTCATTTTGTTAGCGTAGGAAGCTTGTTTGCTTAGGAAGACAAAGTTGATGTAGGAATATATAGAGGTTGGGAAACCCTAGCTGCTATGTGCAGACAAAAAAGGGATTTATGATGATATAAGGTAAGTTAGTAGGGACACATTCATTTAATTATCTAATAAATTAAGTTTGAAAAAATAAAATAAAGTTTTAAATTTTATAAAAAAAATTTCATTCAGTTTGTATTGTACGGAAATATCAATAAATTTTAGTATTTATATACCTATTCGTAGCGAAAAACACCAATAAAGTATAGTATTTGTACTTTTTTGTTATATTAAGAGCAGGTTTAAATTTTCAAAAATCAATTGCTGTTTGGTGTATGTTTCTTATATCAAACTTTTCTTCTAATTTGATTTTGACTTTTTTTTTTTTTTTTTTTTTTTCTGCTTGTCGTTCATAAAAAAAGTACTCATATTGGTTAGTGATGGAAATTTGAACACGCGGCTAACTTTAATGATCATTTTTTTTTATAAATATAATAGTCTATTGGTATTTTTTGTACAAAACAAAATCAATTATATACCTTGTTATCATTTTTATGGTCATACTTTAAATAGTCTCTCTTCATACAATATCATTAATGAAAGGCTAAATAACGAACTTTTTTTAAGGATAATTTGTAAGTTATTTTTTTTTCTTTTACGAAAAATATAAAACTATGGACAAAAGAGGATAGGTTTTTAAAAATTGAATGTCATATCCAAACTAGGGGTGTGCAAAAAACCGCACAAAACGCACAAACCGTCCGCACCGCACCAAACCGCACCGTATAATGCGGTTTAGAATTTCGTGGTGCGGTTTGCGGTTCATCATTTTATCAAACCGCACTATGCGGTGTGGTTTGCGGTTTGTATTTATAAAACCGCGGTTCAAACCGCACCGCACCGCATGTTATATATATACTTTTTTTCTTTACTTTGTTATAATTTCAAATCACGATTTAGAAACGATGTATTTAAATATATTTCTTACAATAACCAAATATCTATAACGTACCATTAAATCACTATTAGATGAAGATCACACGGTTTACAAGAATATAGCAACTATAACGGCAATATAAAACAATAACAATGACACTTACAAAACTATAGTAGCATGAATCACAATTTATTAAAAACGATTTAACTTGAAAATTGTATTTGTTTTTATAAAATGAAAGCAATCAATTTTTATAACCGGGTCAATTTTTTGGTTTTTTGATAGATTTAATGTTGAACAACTCATTAAACCGCACAAACTGCAACCAAACCGCATAAACCGCCCGCATCAAACCGCACCGCATAACGCAGTTTCGAACATCTGTGGTGCGGTTTGCGGTTTCTAAAATATTCAAACCGCATATGCGGTGCGGTTTGCGGTTTTGACTCTAAACCGCACCAAACCGCACCGCGCACACCCCTAATCCAAACCCATAAGAAGCAATCATATCTCAAATTCAGACCGTTCGATCAATCTAGTTGGCTCCTGAGTGCAATAGTTTAACAAATGTGAAATATTTACAATGATTTTCTTATAGATATTCGAGGGTACGGCCGTATGGGTATGTCTCATTAAATTTGTACCTCTTATTTTTTTTATTGTTTAATTGAGCTATTGACAACTTCAACTTGAGTTAAATATATTGGAATTGATATATTTTCCTTCTTATTTCTCTGTCTTTTTCTTATTACTTCCTGGTTTATAGTTTATAGTTATGGTGGCCTATATATATTGGGTTTTATTTTGTTTATTGAATCAATGAAATCACATGAATATTTTGTGATTTTTATCGATTTCCTCGTGGTATCAGAACAGGATATTTAACTGCTCTACAGAAACGCTATAAGTCGTCGATGGTGTCTTCCACATCAACGACCAACGCCATGGTCGACGATGCAGAATCCTCGAACAAGAATGACAACAACACACCGGACCACAACTCTCCACTTTATCTCCACCCGTCTGACTCCTAGAAAAATGCAAGTTAACAATGCATTATCTGACAAGAATGATACATATTGGGCTCAAGAGATGGATAACTTTCTCCTTGCAAAAAAAAAAGATCGGTTTCGTAGATAGAACCATTAAAAACCCGAGAAAACGTCAAAAGACTATATGACATGGATTAGGGATGAACATTAGATCCAGTTACCGGTTCTCCATTTTCATGAAAACTGGTCCCGGTTCTAAAAACCGGAACCGGTTTGATATTTTTCCCATTTTTTAAAATTCATATGAAGTAGGAATTATTTGAGTTTTTTTTTCCAAGATGTAATTTGGAGTTTGTAATTTATTTTTGACTTTACAAACATATGTTTTGGTTAGATATTGAATCAGACACATGCTCCAAAAGAAAAAATATCGATGCTGCGTTTTTTCTATTTCAACATTTTTTTTTAATCTATCCCATTTTTTTAAATGTGCATAACTCATTCATATGACGTCAGAATTACTTAATTTTTTTCCAACATGCATTTTGGTGTTTTTTGTTCATTTTAGACTATAAAAACACATATTCTGGTTAGATATTGAATCAATTATAGACCCCGGAAGACAACATATCAATGCTGCATATTTTCTGTTTCAGCATTTTTTTTTTGGAATCTGTCCCGCTTTTAAAATACGCATAACTCACTCATATTAAGTCGAAATTACTTGATTTTTTTTTCATCATGTAATTTAGTGTTTGTACTTCAATTTAGAATGTAAAAAGTCATAATTTGGTTAAATATTGAATCATTTACAAGCTCCGGAAGATAACATATCATCTATAATATTTCAACCGTTTCTTGTTTGAAAAATAACCGAAAAACCAGGACCTGAACCGGAACCGGCGCTAGAACCGACGGTCCGGTTCCCGGTTCTTATAATATAGGAAAACCAGTTCCGGTTCTAAAGCTCATCCCTAGCATGGATGAGATGCGATGTCATGGTAAAGAGTTGGCTTACTACAACCATGGAAAAGGAAATAAGAACCAGTGTTAAGTATGCGAACACTACATTAAAGATCTGGTCAGACCTTCGTGAAAGATTCGAGAAGGAAGGTGCACCGAGGGCCTACGAATTGAAGAACCAACTAATCGACATACATCAAGATGGAACATCCGTTTTTGCCTACTACACCAAAATTTGATCCTTATGGGATGAGATCCAGTCGGTTTTTCCCACACCTCAATGCACTTGTAATTTGTGTACTTGTGACATCGAAAAGCGACTAGTCGAACACCAGGAAAAAGAAAACTTTTAATGAATTCCTCATGGGACTTGATGACGAGTTTATTGTAATAAAAACATATATTCTCGCTACTTCCCCTGTTGGATTTTTATTCAAAATTAGTTTAAAAAACATATTTAGCGACGAAAGACTTAGAAATTTTGAATAACATAAAACAAGTTTATACCCACCATGGATCATCTTGCAAAGTTTGGAAATAAATCAAGCACCAAAGAAGAAAATGAAGAAATAACAACATTTGTAGTTCTTTGGGTCCTCTTGGGAGGCTTGGAAGTTGATGGAATATGTAGAACTTTTGAGACACCAACAATGACTCAGCTTGATGTAGAGGATAGTCCATAAACTCTTAACTCTTAAGCTTGAAGTTCATAACCAATATGAACTTCAAGAGAGCAAAAGAAATGAAGTAATATTCAAGTGATGAACCAAAAGTATGAAAGAAAGTAGAGTGCAAGAGCACTTGCAGTTTTTCATGTATATGAGAGACACACACATGAAAGCCACATAAAGTGGTTCTTTTACACACAAGTTCTTAACCATTTAAGCTCTCTTGTCACTAGACAAACATGTCCCCCATGCTTATATGGTATAGACATTACTTTTGATTATTCAAACTTGAAAGTCATGACTTCACTAACCTAGTCAATATTCGGCCATATTTCTAAAAAGGAAGAGATAAGTTTTTATATTTTATAAACCAAGTTTATAAAATATAAACTTTAACTTTTTCGGTAAAAGACAAAATAATTTATCTAGTCTAAAATGTTATGAATGACTTATTAATTCATATCATATGAATTATATAATGTTACTTACTAATGAAAATTATTACTTCCTAGAAATAAATAAATTCCAATTAATTATAAGAGTTTATTGAATATTTATTAAAACCAATTTCTAATAAATAATCAGTTGTATTAAGTTGTTGTAAGTGTGACCCTTTAGTATCATATGTTAATTAGTAATATCACTTTTGTAACTCCCGGTTCCTGGTATGTACTTAATTCAAAAGTTTATTCATTTCTATATAGGAACTCGACGAGTTGGAGGCCCCAAACTCGTCGAGTAGAGATGGATTTAGACACGGGTTGTGAAGTCTACTCGATGAGTCGAGGAGTCTCAACTCGACGAGTAGGACTGGCAGAGTAAAATCCTAAATTTCAGGGTTTTGCATCCTATTTAATCATCTTAACCCCATAACCTAGCCTCATTTGCTGCCTCCATCGTTCCAAACCGTAGACATGAAACCCTAATCCATTATTGAGAGCTTTGAGCCATTTGTGTGCTTTCCTTGTGATTTTGAAGGAAGAGATACTTGAAGAAGGAGCAAGCACGTGTAGGAGAAGAGTAGATCCAGAAGCTAAGCCTCATTTTTGGTTCATTTGAGGTACAAAGCTCCTATCTTGCTTGTAGAATGCTTATATCTAGTTTTAGGTCGTTTTCTTCATGTTTTGGTCCAAGAATGTTGATCTTTGGGACTTGGACATCCCATATGGGCAAACCTTTCAGATCTAGGGTTTATAGGGGGCTTCATGGCATAAAGGTGCCAACTTTATGGCCATGGAAGTCCCATGCATCTTGTAGTCCATCTTTTTAGTCTTTTGAGCCAAGTATGCCATGCATGTATGGAAAGATGAGAACTTTACATGATCAAGTTGACCCTAGAGTCCAGATCTATGACTTTATGGCTTGTATTGAAGTTTTTGGCGGTTTTAAAGTCGGTATTAAGTCATTTTGAGCTAGGGC